TGGTGAGTTGAAAGAAGGATGGTTTGACGGTCAGACAGAAAAATCTGTTATATTTTTCCAGGTACTCCTTCAGAAGATGGCAAAATTTCGCATCACCAAGCCGGAATACAACCGCCTTCGTCGAACCACATGCACTTCCTTCGCCTTCTGGTTAATCTTGTTCTCCGCAATCGTCATTCTCATCAACCTCATACGTTTCGGCTTCCAAATACCGATTTCACTTCCGATCCTCGTGGCGATGAAGAATCGGGTCGCCAAATGGCCTCGGTACTTGGGGATGATAAGCGTCGTCATCCTGGACACATTGTTCGTTGCTCTCGTTGAAGGAACTGGAGAAGCTTTTCGAATGTTGAACGTGCAGCTCGCAAACGAGTTCGGGGGTTCCATCAGCATGGGAGAGATGGAAGAGGAAAGTGTGGAATATTCGGATTTCTTTGATTGCGATCGGAATGACAACGTAAGGGACGGACGTCAATGATTAAAAGATACGTAACAATACTCAAAGGATTCTCAGCGACAATTCAGCCATTAAACTTGTACCAATACAGTAATTATAATTTTACCTTCTTTTTCTTCCGATTTTCCTCCGTACAAGGCTATTTCTTGGACCAAAACTTCATTATTCCTGCAATAAAGGGGTCCAACTGGAGCCTACGCCTTCAAATATTTGTCTATGTATTCCAAAGTGACTCGAAGAATGCGACTCATATTACTGATATACTGTTTCAGAGTCTTGCTAAAGTGGATTTGAAAGATAAAAACGATTTCCGGGAGTTTGAAACAAGAAAAAGTCAGTCCACCGACTGGAAATCTGCAGTCAAACTTCAAAGTAGAGATCAGGAACTTGTCACTGGAAAAAATACAGTACAGTATTACAAACCAAGTAGAATTTCCTTCGATTATGATTTATGACAAACTTTNAAACTCAACGTGCTCCTGGGACTGATCCCATTCCGTATCGACTGGACGGATCCCAGGGATCCCTGTCACCCACCGGCCAAACGGTGTCATCACAAGGACGCCGAACATGACGTGGAGGCCGTGCGGACACGTCAGGAAATGAAGTCATCGTCGATGTCGTCGTGTTGCGCGGCTTGGAGTCCCTTCGGCATTGCGCAGCTCTCGGCTTACTTGATTGTTTATGGCTACGGCGCGCTTTTGGTGGCGACGAATTCCTTCGAGACGATTTCGGGGGCTTGCTTGAAGGTTGACCTGTGCGTTGTGGCGTTCTCTGCGTGTACTATCGTGGGCGAGATCGGCATTTGGATCAGCATCGTCGCTTTCCTCAGCGGCGCGACGAACATGAAGGTTGATTTCAACTAGAGATGAAAAAAAAAACCAGATTCAACTTTAGACGAACGCCACACACTCAGCTTTACTGTAATTGATACCACATGTTTCCCCATGTCAATGGATTCAATGACTTCCTCAGGAGTTCATTACCCGAGTAATTTGAAGCGATATAAAATTGATGATCGTTTCCAATCGAGAATCTTCGATCACATCTCACAATTCGCTTTACAATGAGAACGAATGTGAAGAAACTATTTTTTAATTCTATACGATTTAAGAAGATTGTGCGGTCGTAAGGGATAAAAATCTGGTTCCTCAGCGGCGCACCGAAAACGTTAACCGAGCACAGTACTGTATTGTGAAATCAGCGCTATAAAATTGATTCACTGTCCTAGGAATCTTTGATCCCATTTCTTGTTTTTTTCTTCAAAAATTCTTTTTGTCTGACAAAAAATTTGGAGAAATTGTTCATTTTAAAAACTGGACGAGTTAATTAGAGAAGGATGGTGAAAATGGACCCATGAAGAAATCTCGTAGGAGAAAAAATCCCGCGGCCCGAAAATGCCATAGGCCTAAAAATCTTGCGGGGTCCAAAAATCCCGTAGGTACAAAAATCCCATATACTAAAAAATTGTGATATTATCTCTGAGTTTTCCTTCCAACCAAGGAAATCCTTCCAATTCAAGCAAATTGATGCAAGATTTTCACTTCATATAGCAGAGGGCAAAGTTGAACTGGAAATAATTTGAAAAGTTAACAGTTTATATACAAAACACATGCAAGAACGAAGTCTTGATCCAAATGAAGGTTAAATTTTTCTCATGTTTCCCCAGGAGAAAGGTGAGGAAGTGAAGTTGAGGTTCTATTGAGAAAGGTAATTCCGAAACCTTGGAAGGAAACCCCTCGCACTTTCACCATTTCATAATCCACCATATTTGCATTCCTCCCAGGCAGTTGGAAGGAAAACTCAGAGATAATAGCACAATTGGGCAGTACTGTATACGGGATTTTCATAATAGGGGATTTTCAGTTTTTTGGGCCAACGGGATTTTCGGGCCGCGGGATTTTTCTCTGCACCCGGTGAAAAAAATCTACAGTATTTCATATGTTTTTTCTCAGCGGCGCGCCAAATAACATGAAGGTTGTTGTAATTGAACAATTGAGATTAAAAAAAAAAAACAGACTCAAAATTATAAATGTGTCATACATTCAGCTTTTGAAGAATCCAAGAATAAATGATTCGGTGTTGCCTCGGTCAACGGATTCAATGTAAACCGTTTCACGGGAGTCTATATTAACCGAATGATGTGAAGCGATATAAAATTGATGATCAGTCCGAAGATTCGTCGATCCCAATTGAAAATTTGTTTCCCTCTAAGAATCAATTCAAAGAAATTATTTTTTTGAATACTTTCTTCAAATTGATTTTTTTGAACATTGGGTGAGTTGAAAGAATCATGGTTTGATGGTAAGACAGAAAAATCCGTTTTATTTTTCCAGGTACTCCTTCAAAAGATGGCAAAATTTCGCATCACCAAGTCGGAATACAACCGCCTTCGTCGAACCACATGCACTTCCTTCGCCTTCTGGTTAATCTTGTTCTCCGCAATCGTCATTCTCATCAACCTCATACGTTTCGGCTTCCAAATACCGATTTCACTTCCGATCCTCGTGGCGATGAAGAATCGGGTCGCCAAATGGCCTCGGTACTTGGGGATGATAAGCGTCGTCATCCTGGACACATTGTTCGTTGCTCTTGTTGAAGGAACTGGAGAAGCTTTTCGAATGTTGAACGTGCAGCTCGCGAACGAGTTTGGGAGTTCCATCAGCATGGGAGAGATGGAAGAGGAAAGTGTGGAATATTCGGATTTCTTTGATTGCGATCGGAATGACAACGTAAGGGACGGACGTCAATGATTAAAAGATACGTAACAATACTCAAAGGAAAGTTTCTCAGCGACAATTCAGCCATTAAACTTGTACCAATACAGTAATTATAATTTTACCTTCTTTTTCTTCCGATTTTCCTCCGTACAAGGCTATTTCTTGGACCAAAACTTCATTATTCCTGCAATAAAGGGGTCCAACTGGAGCCTACGCCTTCAAATATTTGTATTCCAAAGTGACTCGAAGAATGCGACTCATATTACTGATATACTGTTTCAGAGTCTTGCTAAAGTGGATTTGAAAGATAAAAACGATTTCCGGGAGTTTGAAACAAGAAAAAGTCAGTCCACCGACTGGAAATCTGCAGTCAAACTTCAAAGTAGAGATCAGGAACTTGTCACTGGAAAAAATACAGTACAGTATTACAAACCAAGTAGAATTTCCTTCGATTATGATTTATGACAAACTTTTTATAAATTTTCGATCCCGTCCCCCGAAATCATGGATGCGCATAATTCAAGATGCAGACTAGGTCTATCTATATTCGCGTGAAGACGAGAAATCAATTTGAAGGTTTGAAAGACGCAGCTAATAATTTTCCCCTCTTTTTACTTCGAATTTTCCTCCATCTTCTCGAAAAATTTAGAAGCAAGTGCTGAACAATGGTCAACCAGGAAAATTAAGACGTTCGAAAACAGAGATTCTGGAGGATCTCCGAAGCAGATACGTGGCCATGTGCGACATTGTAGCTTCGGTGCAATCCACGTTTGCTCGCTACCTTCTCCTCACCATCTTCTCGGCAGGGGTTCACTTGATGATCACAGTGTTTCTTCTTCTCACGCACACCGTGCAGGCCATTCAAATCGGACACTATCGATTTTTCTATGTCTTGGTCGGATTGACCGGAATTTCAATGGTGCGACTTTATACCATTTGTGTCGTAGCTTCACGGCCTGGAGACAAGGTATGAATCTTAGAAAAAACTAGACGAATGAAAGTTTCAAGTATAATGCGGTACACTAATGTCAGAATCTTATATAATATTTCTTGCGATAGCAGATGAAAATACAGGGTCGGCAAAAAAGACAGAGATTCTCAGGCTGTGGTATGGTATAAAAGGAAAATTTTTGCGGCGTCAGAACGGAGCTTTTCAAGTGAATAATTCTTCATACATTTTTCTCAGTAGAGCAGGAAAAGATGGATTCTGTCACTGTCAGATGCATTCTTTTCCCTTCAACATCATCTTTAAAGACTTGTTGGAGCTATTTTAAAATTCTCATTGATCTTCGAAAGTCTCATTATAAAATGGAAGGTTGTTTTTTTCAAATGACAGGTTCTCAAAGCCCAAAGGATGCTGTCAACCATCACGAATTCCACAGAAAGCGCAAACGGAGGGGTGTCAGATGTTTCAGTGATTATATAAAATTTATTGGAATCACACAACGATGAAAAATAATTCATGAAATTTTTGTACGCAGATTCTGAAATTCTACGAGGACCTGCGACTGGGGTTTCCCATCATCACAGCAGGAGGATATTTCACAATCGCGAAAAAACTTTTGCTATCGGCAAGTTATCTTTACAACCCATTTGAAACCTGAAAAATTAAAAGCCTTTCTTGAATTTTTTTCAGATAATCGCCACGGTGAACACTTACCTCATCATCCTGCTCCAGTTCAGCATCAACGAAAACGGCGATGGTCGAAACATTGCTTGTCTCTACACCGGCTTCACTAACTCAACAATTTGAAGAAAAAAACCACAACAAAAAACCTATCAGAGCATAGAGAATTTCAAACGCAGGAAATATATTCCACAGCTTTTTTGACATTCAAAGAAGTTTATTCATTCTTGATCAAACATGAGACACTTAATAACCAAGTATATTGGATGTTTCCAGCGCGAAATGGAAAAACCTAGGCAGCAGATCAAAAACTTATTTTTACCTGACGTTCAAATCCAATCCAAAATAAAAGAACATACAGTGCTTCACTAAGCAATGTCTCATTCGAATATTGGTATTCCCATTACTTCATATCCTTTATGCCTTAGAATTCTCAAAATAAAAAAGGCATTCCCTGAATCCCTCTCCAAGCTAGTTTGAATCAAGTTACGGACACCCAAGGACGACCGAAGTCCACACACAACAATCCGCAAACTATCGGTTAAAAATCTCTGCAATTAAATCGAGAATAGTTCCGAAAAAAATCAGCGACTTCGATGCTTTTCTCGTTTCAACAGTTTCTTGTGCGCTTTCTCAAACTTGTCCAGGCGTCGCAAGAGCTTGAGTTTCTGGTGCGTCGACAGGGTGTCAAGCACGGCTAAAGCAGGACACGGCTTTCTTGGCGCAGCCCTGGGCTTGCCTCCAGCCGGGTCCAGAAATTCCCGGTCCACGACGGAACCCTTGAGTTTGAGACCCGTCTCGTCTCTCATGCGAACCATAAGCTCCACGGGATCCAAGTCTGTCGGTCGAAGCCTCACGTCATCTCCAGGCTGCTGGTTGTACAGTGGACATTCCCGGTCCGTGTTGAGGTGACCGAACTCGTGACACTTGATGCACCGGACATTGCGCACTAAAATTCCAAATGGCTGGTCCCGCACCTCTGCATTGTCCTTGCAATAGTCCTCTCGTGGTGCATTGTACTTGCGCTGCCACTCGAACTTCACTTCGGAGCTGTCTTCGTCTTCTTTCTTCTTCAATCCCGGCGGTGGGTTGTACATAAAATCGAGGCTGATTTTGTCTTTCGACTCCGTCGAGATCATCGCTCTGCCAACGAAAAATGCAAATGATTACGTTATTCAGACAAAATGGATCACATAAATGTTTGAACTGCGTACCTGTTGTCAACGAGTTCTTGCTCCCGTTCATATTGAAGCCTCAATTCATCTTGCTTCTTGCGGTAGGCTTCGTCTTTTTGCTCAGCCATCCATACCTAAAAGTAATTTCAAATTTTAAAATACTGGGGCTTTGGCGGTGACTTATTTTTTATCAATAACAAACTTACCCTTTTCAAATTGTCTCTTGAGGAGGGATGGAAGAACTTCTTGCACATGTAGTTATTGAAACCTTTCCCCATCGTGAAGCGTAACACTGGTTACCGTTCAAAACAAAGCAAATATATGATTTACACGAGATGATTCTAATCTGAAAAAAAGGAAGTAGATCAAAATATGTGAAGCACATAAAAAGCTTGAATACATAAATCGTTATACAGTACATTCATCACGAGCCGAGTATGTTCGGACAAAACCACATATGTAAACACCCTGGATCGATTCAAGACCAAAATCTGACAGATACGTGATTTACAGTCCCAAATGAGAGTTCAATTCTTAATTGCGTTGCTCTAGAGTTCTAGACGGACGCTTTTCTTCACCTCCTTCCTGCCTCAATCACGACGAAAATAAACCATCTAAAACCTCAAGAAGCTAAATAAAATTTTAAAACTAAAATCCGACAGAAAGAAACACGTCTCCGTTTTCTGAACACATACTAGGGCCTAAAAATCCTGCAGTTTCTTCTTTCGAAGTGAAAACAAGTCAAAAATTGAAAAAGCGTCATGTTGACGAAGGTAGAAGAAATGGAAATTGACTTGATCACTGTATTCATTGAATGTTTGAAGACAAATTGTACGCGCATAAAAATGCGGTGTCCTGCCTGGACTAAAATCGAATGATGATCCTGAATGGCACAAACCGAATAGCATGCTCAAACAACATTTCCGACATAATTTAAAATCGAAATAAAAAAAAAAGACGTCCAATATATCACAGCCATTAGGGCTTAGAAGCAGCTGGAACACCCAATGGCGGGAGTCCATCGAATCGCTTGAATGTGTAGTTGTTAAACACCCAGTCATTGGCACAAGTTTCAACGTCTTCCTCCTCACATGTATCCAAGGGTATTTTCAAATCTACGTCTGGAAACTCGTCGAAATTTGACGTGTCGTCGATCGATTTCACAGTTACTTTAATCGCAGCTGGGCGCTCCCGAATGTGGTCCCAATCTACGCCGAAAAAATACGGATGTGATTTCAAATCTACGACACCGTGATGAGTTCCCAAACGACGCTCAGCCTCCATGCAGAATCTTCGCACGCAGTCCTCGGCTTCTTGGGATATTGGTATCTCCGGGGGGAATGTCAAAGTCTGTCTCCAATTCATCACTTTTCTGTACGTGTCTTGCGGCTTTTCACTACAAAATGGCGGATAACCAATGAGCATCTCGTACATGATGATACCAAGGCTCCACCAGTCGCAAGCTGACGAATAGCCCGTTTGCATGAACACTTCTGGTGCAATGTAGTCAGGAGTTCCAACAGTCGAATAGGCCAAGGCACGACGATTTCGTTTCCACGATTCCGCACGCCGCTTGCTATCCATTGGATTAGATGAGAAATCCGTCGGAGTGGCTTGAGAGAGATTCCGGTAAAAATTAGTGCGGTGAGATTTCTTCAATCCAGTGCATAGTCCAAAATCTGACAGCTTTATGTGTCCACGAGCATCAAGTAAGAGGTTGTCTGGTTTTACATCCCGATGGATGAAACCCAGTTCGTGAATTGACTCGATCGCCAGCGCGGTTTCCGCGATGTAAAACTGGGCGCATTCTTCTGATAAAGTATCTTCCTTCATTAAAAGAGTCATCATATCCCCGCCAGGCAGAAATTCCATAACCAAGTAAAGGTTCACTGAGTCCTGGAAAGAGTAATGCATCTTCACCACCCATTCGTGATCCGCCTCGACAAGAATATCACGCTCCGCTCGCACGTGCGCCACTTGTTCCCTCTGCAGCATAACTTTCTTCCGCAAGATCTTCATGGCATAGACGTGACCGGTATCTTTTTTCTGAACCAGTCGAACTTCACCAAATGCTCCTCTTCCTATGACCTTCAGTTGTTCAAAATCATCGACACTCATGCGTGAACGCTTCATTCGCAGAAATTCAGTCTCTTTCAAGGCATGCCGTTGACGTTTCTCTTCTTTCTGCGATTCCGAAAGGCCCTGGGCAGACATCGAGCCTTCAAGATCTTCATAACGCTGTCGACGTTCCTTATGCTGCACCAACAGGTTGCTGTAATAGTTTTCGAGCGTAACCTTGGCTTTAGTAGCTTTATCGCTGGTTTGCGAGCTAACGCGAAATCTACTCGCACCAGAAGACTCATTCATCTTGAAAAGAATTATACAAAAAGAGCAAGAATGATTCAGGAACGCCCAATATACCAAGTCACTATAAAATCACACGACGATCCGCCGAATGAAAACGACGAAGTGACGCTTCGAATACTCATATAATAATAATTGAAGCTATCGGAGTTCAAGCAGTTCACCAAGGAGGAATCTCACTTACAATCATCATTTGCTGGACAGATAATCTCGCAGGTGACAGACTTGAAAGGTCGAAACACGAAGACTTAAAATATCACAATTCAGTGCACACAAATTCGCTCTTCAATTTTTCGCGTGAGAATTGAACACTTTTGAAATGGTGGTGTAGTTATTCGCAATCGCATTAAGCACAGTTACTTTCAGTGATTTGGGACGTGCCCTGAGATGTTCGAGGCTTGCTACAGCAAGGCTTTGTCTTTTTTTTGCAGCGATGTTACGAAGCACCGAAATTCGGTGCGTACAATATGCTGTACAGTACTGCACTGCATACTTTTACTTCATGATGACGAAAACAGATGTCGCACGACGGAGCATATATGGATGTTGACAGAAGGCATCCCGTATGTAATCGAACCCAAACGGCTTAGAGATCAGCAGTACCCAGCATTGAGTCAGTGACACCATTCTATGCGGCGACGGGGACCCTGTTCACAGTGTCGACGAAACGAGTTTGAATTTCATTACACCGACAGTAACGCGTGAATAACGTTCTTGTCTGACGAGGGCGGGAATGGTGTAAGATTCGCAAGTGTGCACCATCCTCGATTAAATAACGAACACTTCGAAAACGAGGTGAACGCTACCGTTCCTCGCACCGATGTACTGATTGACAGCACGATCCCTCGATCATGTCCACATGGTACATATTACAGTACAGTATTGGTAATTATATTGAGGGAAAACATCGAAGTACAGCGTGAATCAAATTAGGGAAGTTAAATTGATAGAAATTAATCTCGTTATGAAACAAAAAAGAACCACTAAGAATATTAATTATTTCTTTCGAAAATTCTTCGTCATTGCTGTATAAAAATTATCGGAAGACAAATTCCAAAAGCTTTCATTCGAAATCTTTCGTAAGAGATTCGAATATCAATGCTTCAAGCAGTCTATAATTCGAGTAAGGTATGGGAGAATCTTATTGGAAGGAACGGCAGTTGAAAAGAAAAGAGGAAGGATTATCATCAATGATGAGCGGTTGTAGAACTTTATTCCGAGGCTCTGGACTTTATTATTTTCCCAGGTCATTTAATCGTTGAGTCAAACACATGGACAGAATAACTACTCGTACATAAAACATTCTCACTGTATATGATGATACAAAGCTTCACAGCATGAATTTATGAGAATCGTCAGCATCATGCGTTTTAAAATGCATAGTTCCTTCAATCGAACCCAAGATAATGATGCTGAATAACAAGGTCCTGGAATTCTAAGTGGTGATTAACAAGTGCAGGAAGATAAAAAAAAAATTATGGAACAAATGCGCTGCTGTACTCAATGAACTCATATGAACCAACTTGACGACAGTGTCAGCCTACATATTTGAAGTGTGATAAATTGTGTTCTTATCATGCTTGACCTACATGGGAATAATTTGCGGTTTCATTCGCTCAATGAATCATTTCGGCACTCGACAAGACGATTTTTTTCTTCAACTTCATTGGGGTGTGATCGGTCATTTACAAATACGAACAGAAAATTAAAATTTCATTAAAATTGCTTCTTTTTCCTTGATTCAACTTTATTGAAAAAGAAGATCGATAATTACCCCCTGGGTCTGCAATAATATTTGATGAATTTCGCGTGCAAAAACTCGAATGTCTCACGATTTGAATAAATCCAAGCAAGTAAACTGCATATCGGTCGGATTTTCAACAACAACAACAAACTCGTCGTGAAATGTGACTGGGTATTGAAGTCAAGCCATGATTTCACACAAACTCAAAAATCCGCAGAATCTCGCCCACTTTTATTCCAACGGATTTCCGCTTACACTTCGTATGAACGCATCATCATTGTGTTTTTTTTTTGCATTAGAATTCCTCACAAAAATGCTCCTAGCAAAAACGTAGCATTATAATTCTTGCTTTGAAAACGGTAGTAAATATCATTGTTGATAGCTGAAATTTATTGAACATTCATTTTCTTGAAATGTTTGCGCTCGTCAGAAGAAATCAGAAAAAATTCCTTAAAATCGGATAAAAAAAAACGCAATCAAATTTACATATACAGTATAGGAAGCATAATTTCGATTCTTTTAACCAAGTAAAAAGCCAAATGAAAATTGCGCCTTGTATTCTCGAAAATGATCTGAGCACTACCTATACGAATATATCTTTCTTATCAGTTAACTGAATTTTCAATGCATTAAACAACCTCCGGAAAAAAGAAATCCCGAATTTTAGAGGAGTATTTTACAACAACAAAAAACGAACAGTCGATTTCAGGATGGAAAAATAAATCCGCTTCAAAGTTCATCGAAAACCATATGAAAGCTTATCGACTGCGTTCAAAATTCCGAGCCATGTCTGCTCCCGAGCAAACGAGGTTAGATCGGCTTCTATTTCAATATCCTCAACTGTCAACTAATATATTTCACCAAATAAAAGTAAAATTAAACTTTAAAAACTTCGGAGCCGAAGGACAAAAAATGTGGAAGTGTCGTTACTTCATGAAACACCAATATAATAACCATTTTATACAATCGTTCACGATTATAAAAGGTTCAAGATTTTCTTAATTTTTCAAAATAAATACAGGAATAATCAAGTCTTCATCTGTTATTCTTGTTCAGACTCTGTTTGACATTTTCATAAACGCAAAAACGCATGAATATTTCCGAAAAGGCGCCTAATATTGATCTTAAGCACTGGCCTTAAAATATAGAAGAATTCGAGTCTTTTCAAATGTTCCACCCAGAGATGCGTAAGGTAAAGGTTTCCCCATATGACATTTAATGAAGACCTTTCAACCGAATAAAAAAATAAGGTGAAAAACTTCCCAAATGGATCCCTACATCTTGCAGAAAATGGGCCATTTTTGGATGCGTTGGCAACATTTTCCGAACTTTTCATACAGATTTATCCTTTTTCAATTGGATTGGCGCAGCACGACGTGATGATGCATTTTTCCATGAATTCGTCGTATAAGTTGTTTTTTCTTATCAATTCCGCTCTTTAACCACTTTGGCTATCACTAAAAAATAATTTAAAATATATAATCTGCGCTCTGAATTCCGAGGAACAACCCGGAAATTCTGAAACGGTTGAGCGCCATGAAATTTTTTTAAGCAGCGAGGTAAAATCACGAAATCGGTCAACCTCCAGGTGGTCAAGAAATGGGATAACCCTGAAAAATACGGGAAAATTTCCAGCCTTTTTTCCCGACGAAGGACTGAGCGAGAGAATAATTCGGAAAAATCGGAGTCATCAACGAAATCACCCAACCGGAAGCAATTAATTTATTTCGCAATCATAAATATACCTATGCGATATTAAATAAGCTCGTTATTGTGTTTGATGGCCATGTCGCAATACATACAACAAATGCGAATCGTGCGATCCGCAGATCATTCATACAGCAGTGTAATTCATCAAGGGCTCTAAAGAGGCAGATAAGTGACAAGCAATTTGTTGATATAAATCAAATATTACCCTTAAAATAGAATTCAGTACACACAGCATATGTCGGCGTTATCGGACAAAGACGAGAAAATGGATGTTGCGACATAGTCATTTGAACACGAGCCCGAAACGCAATTCACCAGTATTTACGGTGATCATCAAAGCATATATAATCTGCTTAATTTACAATTCAATAGCAAAGGCATTATATAGGAGAAAACCTAGGAATTAGAGTAAATGATTTAATTAAAATTTATTTTAACTTTATTTAGACAATTAAAAGTTATAAGCATTGTGTAATTAAACTGGCACCAGATTTCAAGGGAGCAGGATGAACCAGAAAATAACAAAGCAATTCTGTTATGCAAGAGAAGGAAGAAGCAAACTTAAGTAGGTTTTACTGAATTAATATTGTGAAATTTTGAAATGCCAGAGCTTGAAGATTTTTGTTTTCAAAATGTCAGGGGCTTATTTGCCTGATGGACCAAATGCTGCAGCATCACTAGCAAGATAGCAACCACCTTAATCCCTCCTTGGCAGTACAGTATATTCAGCACATGCATACAATGGTTGGTTCACGAGTTTTGAGATTTTTTTTGTCAAATAGATCCAACAGAGTTTTAAAAATTTCAATAACAAAATTACTTGCATAGCCCCATCACTTGGCAACAGTTCAGTTGCTGTTCAACTCTCCACCAATTTCAATGCATTTTTCATGCAATAAATCCAACAATCAAAAATGTTGAACAGCGCTGAAGTGTGGCCAAAGGATGGGACTATATGCAAGTAAAGTACTATTTTTCAATTGTGCATACTCCATTGGATCTACAGTGAGACCCCCACCTGTGGACACCTTTACGTGCAGACAATTCAACATAGGGACACTTATTTTTCCATAAAAAATAATAAAAAAAGGCCCAACATGAGGGGATTTTGTTATAAAATTGCAAATACATTTCAGGCCAAATTACAAGAACCAGATATTTCCAACCCTAAAATTGATTTAAGAAAAGTTCTTGAGCATTTCTCTCACTAATTTACCATCCATTTAGCTAATTTAAAAAATTACTTCCAGCATAGAGGGACTTCCTTCTCTCTTTTTCACTTGAATGTTATTTTTTACAGAGAATGCCAACATTTATATGTACTGTACAGAGGTATCAGTATTCCATTCCCCAAATGTCATATTGTGTTGAAATATATTGATTGAATCAGTTTAAATTGGGAGACATTTTTATTTTCATGGAATTATGGTGAGTATTTTGTACTTAAAACACCAATTAAAAATTATATGATGTAAGTCTAAGGGAAAATGGGACTCAACTTGAGGAAATTTTTGACTTGGGGACAGCACTTTTGATTCACCAATTATGTCCGCATCTTGGGGTCTCACTGTATTTCAAAGAGTCCCAAAACGTGTATGAACCAACCCGCAGCGCTGTAACGTAAACTTACTCAACTGTACAATGTCCAAGACAGGGAAAACAAGGGACGAAGTTGAAAAATGGAAAGGATGATGATGATGCGGCTTCACAACGATACAGGGACTGCTGCAGGGCTTGGGGAACTTGCAACTGCTGGGGATTTCCCCGCGGATGGTATCCGCTTCCGAGAATCCTGGAGTCCGGCGCTTTCCATCATTATACTGTATACTGTACTGCTGATGTGAAAGGTAGCCTCAAAAGATAACATGCTGATGCCGCGGGACGTTCCTGGCGAAACCCAATAGCACCCAAGACGATTACGAAACCCGGACGATACAGATGGACTCTCTCTCTTTCAACAAAATTCAAGAGGCCAAACAAATTTTTTTGCTGTAGCGAGAATTCATAACATGGGGAGGGGGGGGGGGGGATCTTACTCGATTACTGGACCAAAAAAATATTTTTTTTTACTCAGAGAAAATCTTTGTAAACAAGATTTTTGTAGAATGTGTTCACTGGGGCAACATAGTGACTCACGTACTATTGATTCACTTCACAATTTTTTCTCTAGAAAATACTCTTTTCATTTTGGCCAGTTTTAGGCCAAAACTTGTGATTCAAAACTAAATCGTGGAATTCTGAAAGAAGGATATACTTTTGACTTGTAACTAAAATTTGTGCAATTCAGAGGGTTTTGAGCACGAAATCGTCACGATTAATTACGTGTAACACTAATTACATTTAAATTCACGAATTCATGCTGAAAACAAAGAACAATGCACAGTACTGCAGTTACATTATTCAAGTTTATTACGGTTTCTTGGTGAGGAACTAATTACCGTAATTAATTTATAGTATAACGTTGATGGAAACTGCGTTTCGAATAAGACGACAAATACACATGCCAAAACCCATCCACGATGGGATTATAATTTCTTCGTGTGACCCACTGCATATATAATACTGTACTGTACACCTAAGTATATATGCTGGAGGCCTCAGGGCATCTGCTGCTTGCATGTACTGCAGATTGTCTGAGACGAAACAAGAATACTGATGAGGGTCTCGTTAATTTTTTCCGTCAAAAGATTCCCTCTACATAATTTCGAGATCTTCTCTTAATATAGTCTAACTTGGCCCAGAAAAAAAAAACGTTTTCCATGCCTGGATAATATTTTTTTCTGAAATTAAACACAGTAATATTGTGCTATAACATAATACAAACCTCCGTCAAGAACAAAGTTCCTGGATAAATAATTTTAATTAAGGGCAAGGTATAGTACAGTATTTCAATAGATTACGGTACATGGAATAACACGATTCAACGCCTCAGTAAATACTGTATAGAGACATCTACCCGGGATTCCTGCATCATCAATACAGTACTGTATATCGTTATCAGATACATTGAACATCCAGCACACGCTCAGTACAAATTTACTGTACAGTATATGTTATACTTTACTCCCGAACCAAGTGCATTTATGGTACAGTGCTGCGATATAGTGATCCTTACGCGGAGTATACGCACAACGCACGCGCTCTTACGTCCTGTACATATACCAAGCAGTAAAGGTAGTATCGTCAGAATCTGCGCAAAATAGGGACACTTTTCAATCTGAATTATACTTCACTCACGTTGATCTTGCCCTTAGCAACAGATTTTGTCATTCAGATCCAGAACAGGAAGGAAGTCAACGACGTGCATCCGCGGAAGCGCTTGCAAATGAGGTACGGACGAGACCGCGATGAGGCCGTTGTAGCGTATTGTACTATGATGGAGCACTTATTCACGCACCGTTCGTCATCAATCATATATGTTGAGTATACCGCGGGCCTGCAGCACTTATATGTATGTACATTATCTAATGTACGGTAAGCTGCACGAACGCAAGTACGAAGATGATCTAATGATGTAATATATATGGGCCGAATCAAGCTATAGAATAAACTGCTCTTACCTACTGCAACGAAAGTTGGATAGAAGTTCATGACTCACGCGGTGTGGGTTGGATGCACATCAGTATCTCGGCACATTCGTTCGTTGGTTGTACAGTGTTTGACAGCAAATAACCTTATGAATTCGAAACATTTATGAACACCCAAGCATTGTTGTTCAACACGAGCACCGCAATAATCCGCGCATTAACGAATAACGAACTGATTCCATCACACAAAAATCAATCATAAAGGTCGCGTTGTCAGCTCTTGGCTCACTAGCAGATCTCTTCGCGATATTAACCCTTGGCTTTTTCACGGTAGAACAGACAATGCTGGAGATAGAACATCCATGTTGATTTCGGCGCGAGATGTCATCCGTGGCGTACCAGTGTTGTCGTAACAAATGTGGTAGCAGATACTGACATAACTTCAGCTGAAATTTTTTAAAATCTGTAGCTGCAATCAATACCGTAAAAATATGACACTTGTTATGACTTTCGAGTGGTAGAATTTCCTCGCCATATTTTCGCGAGAAAGCGCACATTTATCCCTGAAATCAGTCCAAGAAAATCCAAGCATGGGCGCAACACTGCTTGCATGCACACAATCATTTACTTTTTTTTTACTTTGTTTGGATGCCCAACCCCTGAAGAGGTGCTGTATTTCCTTGCCTCTATACTCCTCTGGAGTTGGACATGTAAAATGTTTTCAGTGGATATACTGTATATTATGTAAACGTAGGGATTTTTACATTTCAATTTTGGCTTGATCTTGCAGGAAACGATAAAATTTCATGAATATAAGAATGAGCGAGATAATTTTTTTAGATACGTTATCTTTTAAACTTTCTTGCTGAAAACAACTTTAAAGCAGATTTTTGTCAAGTTTAAAAAATGGCGAGACAAATACCTCCCAGCACCTTGGAAAGTTTCAATATACAATAAGATTAATTTTTTTAAAGTTCAATTATTTTCTAGAATTGAGTAAATGGATTTTTCGAACATTAATTTTTAACTGTTTAATACAGGAAAACATTTAATTTTACAAGGATAAATGACAACGTTTGACCTCCTTCTTGGTTTTGAGGAGTTCTCAGATACTCAGGCAGTGAAGGATAATAATGAAGAAGTGGATGCATGGATAAGCTGGTGGGTTGGGATAGATCTTGCAGTACCCCTGCAGGTGCGTATGGTGTGGACCTCTTGGGGCCCACCCCCTTGCCCATACTTCCTTTACTCGTGTTTTCTTGCAGCTCCTTACATCGTTTGGGGCAATGAGCCTCTCTCTGCTTATCAGGGCATCGTCACGTGACTTTCACGGGGTAGAGGGCACGGGCAGTGGACCAGCTTCTCCGCCAGCAGCATCAGTGTTCGGAGTAAGTACACTTCAAGGTGGTGATATTTTGCACAATCCTGGTCAGTCATGCTTACCGGAGTTGGCATTTGTCTCGTCAGTGCCTTATTTTGCACTGCGTGTGGGAACGGAATGTATCAAAGGAACGGATCAGTTCGTGTGTAAGTGCGGCGGAAAACGTCGAACTCATGTTGGTGCGCTGCGCGTGCGCCTGCGTGAAGTTAGTCCATCAATTGCACCCGGCGCGACAATTGTTTGCCGCGCCACCTCGCGCCGACTGAAGCCGGGTTTCAAAAGTCGCGCTTGGTGTTCTACAGAAGATCATTCGTAGCTATGTCGTGCATGGGGGAACGCGTGCATACGAGGTGGACGATGGCTGTGTCCGTGCTTCTCATTTTTATGTCGAAGTGATGGAACGCAGTGCATCTGTTGCGCGTGATCCTTTGAATTAATTTTGACGACAGTGGCTTCATGGTAAATTTTATTCCTCGTTGTACGCGCATCATGCTGCGTGCGGGGATTTTCCTCCACCGATATTTCGGAATGTAAGCATCTACGACTTACACGACGAGGAGTGTGGCTGGAAATGTGTGGGTTTCGTGTGTTATTCTGCATTATGACGGTATCAATCCCGGGGTTGCTGTGGGATTTTTCCACGCGTGTCGCCCAATTTTGCATTTCATGTGTTGCAGTGCTGTTGTGTTTTTCTCGTTTGAAGGGTTTAGCGTTGCCGTTTGTTCAACCCGTCGTCGTTATTTTCAACTTTTGGGTTGATTTGTGTTAGTGTGAGCCCCTGTGTTCATCTAAGGCTTTGGAACACCGCGAAGTGAAAGTACAGGCTTCTAAACGAATGCTTGAAGGTGAGCTACTTCTCGAATATTCCGAGTCTCGATAGGTTAACGCTGTTTCGTTTCTCTCTCTCTCTCTCTCTCGCACTATGACCTATTGTAATTTCAAATTTGGCGAACATTGCGCGATTTAGTGTAAGATAACGCAAATAAATGTGTATCATTGAGAAATATGGATTCCATGTCCAATTGTACATTTTATCGATGTTTCGTGCAATATTTTATACAATATGGGTAGATGTCGCCAGTATTCTCGATAGCATTTCAATTTATGATCGGTCCTTTTTCTATTATAACTTCATAAGTTCCTGGTGGGTTTTGTCCTGTGTGCGCACAAGCATTCCACCAACTGTTTTATATGAGAGGAACCCATGAGTTCGATGGTTGGAAACTGAAATGAACGCTTTTTTTTGGTCTCGCAGGGGTTACATGTAGAGTATGGGGTTTTACCACCGTTTCCCGTCGGAGCCTGTGAGGGTATTTCGCGTGCAGCAGCGCTCTGTCCTGGTGTTGGACTGTTACAAACAGCGTGTGGCTTTGCTTCCGAAAACTCTGCTCAAGTCGCGTAAGAAGGATCGTGCGCGACGCGAAAAACTCAAGTTCATGAAGGTAGTCACCTGCCCTCTGCTGACGGGCAGCAACCAAGTGTCTATTTGGACTGGAAAAATTGTGAGCGCCCGAGACTCAGTTAGCGACCGCTTCACCAAGTGCAGCCCTTGAGGCGTTTGAGCGCTGCGCAGCAGCGCTGCAAAACCGACGCCGTTTTCTTACTATTTTGTGCGTTCCTTTTTAAATTATCGGCGACTGGGTTTTCCCGCTGTTCGTTGCTCAGTGGTGTCCCCCTTTTACTGTGTACCTATACGTCGTGGCGTCCCTGGGATAGTGCTGGGGTTTGCCGAGAAGTGACGCTGTTTTCTTGATCACCCTTCGCCCACTGGAGTGAATATCTGCTTATGACCGACTCCTGCTGCTGAGCGAGGATCCCCGTCGTTGACCAGAAGTTCCGTGTTTCGAAGGCTTTCGGCTACTGAAGATTGTGAGTACAGTACTTTTCATTAATATGAAACTGTTTTGACGTGAAAAAATCATGTAAAAGTCGAAATTCCAAGAGACCAAAAAAAATTCGAGTTTTAAAGGGTTTCGAGTGAGAAGGAAGTATTTCTGTTGAGGGAAAGAAAGAAATGAATTGCAGGAAATCGAAATTGGTTATATTCCATGCCTTGTATTGCTTTTCGCTTGCGTTGACAGAATGCTCAAGTTAGAGGCAAGCGTTGTTAGACCAATTAGTCTTTCAGTTAATTTCTAAAAATATCAGGTTACATTTTTTATTGCCTTTCTCTTTCCTGTGTCAATAAATTATAGCCAAGAGGAATTATATACGCTTTAGGGGAAAGCCTTCGAGTTTGGGAGGTTTTTAATGTATTTTTTCCAAGGGAAATCCGAGAGGGACTCATCGACAATTTTTTTTTCATGACGGGTTATCTCACGCATAACGTTCAACTGTATCAACATTTCTCAAGAAATATATTAATTTTTTGGTGAAATTGGCTAGCATTAAGGGTGACGAATTTGACGAAGAATGGAGAGAACGCGTGTGTCCGTATTTCAAGGCTATTTACGAAATGTAATTTTTCTGGCCCTAAAATTTATGCGTTCGCAAGACAATGAGACATACGATAAAATATTTTCCAAGGGGTTTACTCAAAATTTTATTTTTATAAGGGCTTCGGCAACTAATTCCATTTCGAAAATAGACGCCTTTGGGTAAAAAAAATCTTAATTTCGAATTAGGTTATTCCATTTCGTTCTCATCACGTATCCGATTTTCTGTTGAAACATTATTCAATACCGAGACAATAATCGTAAATACATTTTCAGTATGGCCTTCAGAAGTGCAGATGATTAATCTTAATCCAGTATTCTTTTCGTTCGTTTGATTCATTCACACAAAGGCTTGGCTTTCAGTGTGATCAATGGTCAAAATTTAAGGCTTTTGAATTCCTTGTCAAACTGGTTCATAAATCGGAAACGATTGTGAAGTTCTTGCGGATGTTACGTAAGATTCGTAATCGACCGATGGACAACCTGTCTTGAACAAGAATACGGAAACTTGTCATGAAACTTTCAGGATGTCTTGGAGATTCGAGCAAGATCGCAGTTAATTGTTTCATTTCATCCTTCCTGTTGTTCAGTACCACTGAACTGAGCTCTGGCGTTAATAACAGGTATTTTCCGATGAGCCGATGAAAACGTGAGCTACATGACGCGAAAAGTGCGTCGCCTGCGATTCTGAATTAAATTTTTTTATTGTCGGATTTAATATTAGATTTATTTTGTGTCAGGAGATTTCAAATATCAGGAGACTATCGTCAGAGGCGGCCCTTGGGTTTGCGTGGGCAGATGGCAGATTCTGGGCCCCTTAATAAGCCTCCCCTGCCAATTGTCAAACAGCATTTAGGCATTTAAAATTAGATTTAAATGTAAACTTGGCTGCAAATTCAATTAGATTCATTTTTGAGGCCATAAAAAGATCTATGTGGATCAGATTAAAGAAGATTTTCAAGTTTTGATGATCAACTTTTTGTAAAAATAATTGTTCTAGTATCTCTCACCTTCTTGAAAAAAAGATCTGCTTCTTTTTGGAACAGCAGAAGGAAATTCACTTTTTCCATATAAACCTCCAAAAATGACCATTGCGCATAAAATTATGAGAATAATAAGATCAACTGCAGAATCTGAGTATGACTAATCAAAAGTTCATGAGGTTAGCATCTTTCTTAGAAAAAATTAAGCTGCTCAGCATTCATATTTCCAGATACTGTATTCTGCTGGTTGAATACAATTTTTGTGTAAATGTAATTTTGCTAAATGTGGCTGACTTTCTTCAACTTGAATTTGAAAGAAGCATTTTAACTTGAGAATTTGTAAGTTTTGAAAATATTGCCCAATTTCTACATGTGTCGATCAATGCAATTATTTTCTAACCTGATTATGAGAATTGTCAATTATTCACACGCTATCCTACCTGAACAAGGGTAGCTGATCTCATTTGAAAAGCATCAAATTAGTAACTTTCGCTTTTTTTTTGGTGAAGGCACTCTGGAAGTTAGCTCCAGTTCCAAACAAAAAGGAAAATGGAAAATGTTCAATGATAAGGATCTTTAGAGCCAAGACCTTTTGGAGCTTGGGAGATTTACAAGGTATTATTCTTGAGGGTGTTTTCCAAGGATTTATTGAAATTTCAAAAACAGAGGTGCTTGACTTCAGAAAATAAAACTTAGCAGCAATAAGGTCGAATTACAATATTATTCTACAGTAATTTTAATAAGAGAAACCCAAGTCTAGTCATGAATAAATTAATTTGGTTTTAATTTTTATGCTTCATATTTTTGGAAATATTGCTTTCAAATTGGTCCAACATTTTATAATACATGGTAAATCTTCACTTTGAGGTTTGCAATCATTCATTTGTGGTTCAAAATTCAAGATGCATCAATTGTTTATACTGTAGTACAGTATTTGAATGTCCCAATGATAAGAACTGCAAGCAGAAATGTAATGACACAACGTCAACAGAAGCTCATTTGAAAATTGAAAATGTTTATGCATTAGAGCAGTTCATATGCCAAGATTTTCTGAATGCATTATCTGATCCCTAATAGTGTTTTAGCAAAAAAAACAAATTACCAACAAGTACTTTTTTTTAAAGAAGTAAGAACAGTCACTACATATTATTTTGGGAAGCGGGCTAACTCCTTCCAGTTTCTGGAAAGTGAAACCACATTTTGAGTTGAAGGGGCGCCTATTTTCTGAACCACAAGGACGGCGGGGCCCTCCTCAAGTGCGGGGCCCTCCTCAAGTGCGGGGCTCCCTCAAGCGCGGGGCCTGGGGCGGCCGCCCCTCTTGCCCCACCCTAAGGCTGCCTCTGACTATCGTGTGTTATAAATATTGTATGTATTATACTGTAATGTATTGTATGCCCCGAGCAAAGAATAAAAAAAGTCACACACACACCCGGGGAACGAACCTGTTCCGGTCCACAAGTATCTGAGTCACTATCTTCCGAACTGCCCTGAGATCAATAACAAGACTCGAAGCAAGTTTTAGTTCATTAGATGAGGATTTCGTTTGATAGCAACCCTGACAGGACAAGTTCTTCATATTTAATTAACTGCACAGGAACGCCTTCCCGTGCACCATCGCACTTACGTACGATGGTAACAGATGGAACATCGATAAGTGAAGTATGGTCATCAGATCTGGGGTATTTTCATTATAAGGATTTTTTTCCTGTATTTGATGTACCGTATTTTATTTGGAAGCACTGTATAGATACTCTTATCAAATTCTTTGAAAAATCAGTTCAGTAGGCGACAAACTTTATTTTTCTTTGTGTTTGTTCGTGCTTTTTCATACCTCCTTTCGCCATCTCAACCGGAATGAGCGATAATTTCAATAGTTTTAAGGATTAAAAGCTCCTACTGTACTGTTGTGCGAAAAAAAGTCGATTTTCCATCCATGCAAGAAAATCAAAGATGAACGTGAGAATGACGAAACTTATGACCCAACCCGAACATTTATTTCGCGGATTTTATTTTCGCAGAAATCTCTTTTCCTTTTGATTGAAGCTCATTGCTGTACTTGAATTTGATTTGCGGCATTCACGATGCAGTAATTTTTTTTTTTATTTAGAAGATGTTTGGTGGATTTTTCGACTTCGCGTCGAGCTCGTCGTCGATGTCGATGTCGCTGCCGTCGACGTTCGGCGCATCTTCCAGCAGCACCGCGGAAAGGGACCACATGATGCCAGAATTGCCTTCAGGCGCCCTCAAGTGGGAGTCTGACTGGAATTCGTCGTCCCTCATGCTCAATGACGAGCCCTGCAGCGAGCTGCTCAATTTCCCGGACGATTTCGATCTCCAATTGCCGCCGCCGCCCGTGCCACTGACGGCGACCGCGACGGCGGTCGTCTCGTTGCAGCACGACTCCGAGTTGCCGGGATCGTTGTTGTTGTCGCCGTCTTCATCGTCGTCGTCGTCGTTGACGTCAACTGGTTCCGGTAGTAGTAGTAGTAGTAGCAGCTCCACGCTGGCGTTGGCGTCGGGTAATGCCCCGTCGTCGCCGGGAGTGATGCACGTCACGTCGACGCAATTGTGGGCCACTCCCGACGCGTTTGCCGGCTTCACGGCGAATGCCCATCTCGCTGACACGTTGGGCGCCGTTGGGTCTGCCACGGACCAGACCGTGGGTCTGGCACAGGTGAATCCTTTTTTTTGTGTGTGTGTGTGTTGAATCGATTTATTTTCGAATGCCACGATTCCGAGGAATAACCGCGTCGAATCAATGGGATATTCCCATAGCATTGTTTGTTATGATGATAAAGGAGTACTTTTTCAATCCTTTTCTTTTTTTGGGGTTGGTTGTGCAGTACTGTACCACTTTTGATACGTGACCGCGTCCGTTTACTAACTAACGTACACCCTGTTGGCTTGAATTTCAATTAGTTTTCATGCCGATTTATTCCTTTTTTTTTAGTCTCACGCGTGTTCAACTTCACATCAAAACTTTCGGTTAGACCTCGTTGCACAGGGTTTTTTTAAATCTCGTTACGACGAACTAGCTGGCATAAAAAAAAGAAAATTCATTATACAGTATTCTAACGATATTCATGGTCCATGATGAATTTATGGGTAAAATTTTGTTGGAAACGGGTACTACAGGTAGACTCTCTTTACAACGATTTGCTCTGTATAACGCATTTTGTTGGTCACATATAGGTTTCTCAACAACGACCTCGGTACAAAAATTTCTCTGCTCCCCGGAATTTTTTTTTTTTACGGAGATATAATGTATAAATGCTTTGAAGTTAATCCACGAATGATGTGTGAAGACTTTTTGTAATTCCCAACTCTTGTTTCTTGAAGTGATGATGCGTAATTCAAAATTTCAAGTATACCTTCCTTATTTTAAACCTGCCCTGCTACAAATCCCCCCCCCCCCCAAATTACGTGATTGCACTAAAATGTTCACTCGGTTGCTGGACAGATTAGTATTGCAATTAAATGTACAGCATTTCCATTTCTTGAGCTCAAAATTGCTTTTCGGCACTGCTGCGCTGCAACGTTGAGAACATCTTTTCCGCATCGCCTCGTGCAATGTTAGATCGTAAATGTTTCTTCATTGAACGTCAGTTAGAATGTTAGAATGTGTTCTCGGACCGAGAATGATTGTTTCGAAATCCATCCAGGTTCAAAATTGTTCCAAGTTCTTGTGGACGAAGCCGGCGAGTCGACCGACGTTGAGCCTGAGAGCCGGCGGAAGCGGTGGGATTGCCATAGAAAGCGTGAGCAGTCTCGGGGCGGCGGCAGTGGCGGCTGCTGCTGATGACACCAACAACGACTTTAGCGACATCGTCACCCCGGACCTGATTCATTCGCTGGGCGGCGCTGCGCCGGCGTTGCTCGCCGCCGCCAAAACCGACGAAGACGTCGACATCGACGTCGGCGACATCAAAGACCTGAATCCATTTTACAACTGGAACTTCGACAGCTCTTCGGTAAGTTTCTTCTTCTTTATATTGCTCTATGCGTAAGAATTGCTTCTTTCTTTTTGATGGGAGTCTCGGAAACAGCCAAGTTAATTTAAAAAAATCGAATTTACTCAGTACGACACGCTCATAAAAATTGTCACCCTAAAATTTTGATGAATTTATACGTTCTCCGAGTAAGATGCGCTCCGCATTTTTAGTGACTGAAAAACTACAGTATTTCATAAAATAAGGGATACCAGAGTTACAATTTTAACCTAAATTCAATGTATTTTTAATTTTTTTTCATTTTGAAACCATGTGTCAAATATTTCTTAGTATATTCAAGTGTGACGCGCACCCAAGCTGCTCATGATACTCGATTAAATACGGTATTTCAATCTGAAATAGCATCATTTTGAATAAGCCATGTCTGAATAATTACCTTTTTGTATCACTGAAAACTTCGACTGATGGCGATAAACTTGTAAAAATAGCCGGAAAGAAGCTCGTCATCCTTGAATATTAAATTTCCACCGGGCTTCTGTATATTCGTCAACGTATATGAGGATGAACTTGTATATAGTCAACTCAAAACGAAGTGTATCACATTTGCAATTTTTCGTGGACACACGGACCTCTCGAAGTTCGTAATCTCGTCTATATGTTAAGCAAAAGGTCAGGTGACCCATTGTGACGAAGAATACCATGAATAAATTCGAGTCCCGTGTGAACTCGTCTTTCCCGTTTTCCTTGTCCGGTTCGTTTTTTTTTGTGTATCCGTCGATGGTTTGAACGATCTGAAGCCGAGGTCGTCGGAAACTTCCAGGGTATAGGTGTATACTGAACTTTTTTTTATGTAAAATTTATTCTGGACGAAAGAGATGAGCCTTGCGGGATTTGCAAGTCTCAGGCAAGGGAAATGAGGTGACATCAGATAATTTCTAGGGTAGGCTACTTTATCTTCTGTGTCCTATCAGCTGATCTTTTTATTTTATTTTCGAATTCACCGCATCGGAAAAGAAAAACCTCCGCATTTTATTCAGAGATGAGCGGAATGAGAAATATCTTTTTGGTTTTTTTTTGCGTTGGTACACTTTTTTTGTTTTTCGACTAGTCTTCCAATAGTTCTTCTCCTATGATGGAAATTTCAAATTATTTTTATTTCTTCTTGGAAGCGAGTCGGGCTCGGAATTTCTCAGGGGGTTTTTTATTTATTTATTTTTTTTACGAATTGTGTGCCCTAATCTTCTTGAGGAAGTATGAGAGAACAATTCAGCATTTAAACAGTTTCGTCCCTGTTGATTTATTTATATTTTGGATGCTTTTGGAATATTTTTGTTCCTCTTTCGAAGAGTTTATTCTCTTTGAACAAATTAAATCAGAAAATGAATAATAATAAAATGAACATAGAACATATGTTTAGTTCAGTTTTGGTTAGTTTCCGGATATTCTCGAAAGCCATTGAAATTATTTTCTGGATTTCGACGTGAACGCTTGGCTTGGAAAATTTTTCAAATAATTTTGTGGCATAAACACAAATCCTGAAAATGTTTAAAACCCAGGTACCTGTACTGGATACTCAATTTTTGTGTGCCAAGATTTTATTATTCGAAGTTTAGCACCATATTTCAATCGTTTCAAGACCTCCTAACGGAATTCCATCCAACTAAGGAATGGTTTGAAACAAAGTTTCCGTTATTAGCTCGAAAATTCCCATATTTCAATTTTCCAAACTCGCATTTTTAAAATCGTTTTTGTGCAATGAACTTGATCTTTGATTGGAAATGTTAAAGTGTTGGTCTCTCAAGTGCTGTGCGAAAAAAAAACTGAGTTGGATTGTTCTGATGCTCGCTTGGGCTGCGCTCAGTTGGGCTTGGCGCTCACTTGACTCGGCGCCCAATCCAGTTTCGGAGCTGTTACGCAAAGAAGGTTGCCTTCCTTTCGTTTCGTTTATTCCTTCGTCTCTTCTCCCTTTAAATGCGCATCTTCAAGCATTTGAATAGAGAATGAGATGTGCTTGTACAGTATTGGGAAGTACAATATTCACTTCGCATGGAGAAGAAAAAAAAAAGTCGGAGCAAACACTCGTCGACTGCGTGGGGGACAGAGATTCGTGTGTCCTTCTTTTGTCTCGTCGTTTGTCCTTCCCCGACGTCTTTTTTAAATTTTTTTAATGGGAACCTGCTCCATGCGGGGGATGAAGTGAAGCACTTGGAATGGCCGAAATTCTTGCGTCACCAAATGATGATGATGTTTCCGTTTCTATGTGATTTTTTTTTCTTGAGGGCTTTTCTATTTTTTTGAGTCAGGTGTGTTTGTGCGGAATTAGTGGTTGCTGATTAAGAACACGCGCCAGACCGTATTTATTTCCTGAACCTCGTTTGCGAATTGAAGTACGATCATTCTTGTCCGGCATTACTTTGCGAGAAGTTAACCCACTTGCTAGAGGTCGCTCCCATCATTTGTGCTGTATGGTATACCGTACTTTCGAATGTTTTTTTTTTTTACTGCTACGTCGGGGTCTAGGCTTACCAACTCAGTTGGGAGCAAAGTTTGTTAGATCAATAGGCTGTGAACCAAATCACATTTGCACTTGAGAAAGTAGAAGAATAATTTTAATTGGCTCCGGAACCTATAGAACGAAATCATGAAAATCAAGAAAATTTGTCGAAAAGCAGCAGGTTGCTGGGCCTAAAATCCAAGAACTTTTCATCAGGGAAAATCCTGACATTTTTCAAAGTTTTAAAAAATTTCGAAAAATTTCTCCTGAAATTCTAAGCATTTGCTTTTTTCATATATTTTAGAAATTTATCGAGACACTGCAAAAATGGAAATTGGGAAAAAATTGGGAAATTTTTGGTTACAGCCTTCTTTTCACAGCATGCCGAAAATTAGTCATGAGAGTTAAAAATTTCAAATCTTGTTTCGTTGAATTGTCTGTTTTTTAAATTCAGTCAAAATGTAAAAACTTGCTAGAAGTCACTTCTATCATCTGTGCTTGTAAATTACAGATACCGTATGTGATGTTTTATTTTTCTATCGTTATTTGAATGAATATTTTTTGCGAATCTTGAATAATTTTAATGCTTGACTTCTCTCGAAATGATCAAAATCGGTGGCACTTTGAGTTTTCCCTTGGTTGATGGGGTTTTTCCCCCGAGGTAACGCCTGTGAAGTTTATTTTAAGTTCCATGCGATCGACAAGTGGAAATTTTCCTGAATTTAAGCCGTCGTGCGAAGTTCATTGGAAAATGTCCGGCCTTGAAGATGAAAAGATTCTCTTGATTTTAAAAATTCTCCGTGTGTGGTACAAGCAGTTTTTTTCCGGAGATATTCTGTTTGTGGGGCATGTTCTCGATTTTCACTTCAGTGCCACTGCGAAGAAGGAAGGAAGAAAAAAAACAGCAAAACACTGAATACTGTAATGTTTTCCTTTTTCACTTGTGAAGGAGAAAAGAAAGTTTAGGTCATCGTTGATCTATTTCATTCAACATTAGAGTAAAAAAAAACTGCATATGTCAAATATTGCGCTGTCCAATCAAAATATAAAATTCCCTTCGTCTTCTTTAATCGCCTTTTTTTAATATATATTCCTCAGGTATGGGGGACCTTTTTTGGGTCCCATTTTCTTCGGGGACTTATTCTCCAGGAGCGGTTAAAAAAACAAATTTCCTGTCGGAGGGATTCGCTAATCCAAGGAATAATTTTGAAGCAATCCTAGCTCAGAGACAGTTAATCCTTTTTCACTCATGTTCTTTCTTCAAAATATATTCAATTGTATACAGTGGTATGATTTCAGCTTGATTCTCTTTAACTTTTTTGTCTTCTATCATCCTCTAGATTTCATTTCTTCGTGTTTTAAATTTCCCAAAAGAATTTCCTCCCGTGTGATTTCAATCGGCGCTTTTATTTGCTGTGATGAGTACCGATGCAAATTTTCTCTCGGACCTTTTATTCCCCGGCATTTTGGTCACCACTTAATCAAACCAAGTTGAAGATTTTACCGTAAATGAAGAGAAATTCGCAAAAGTGGATTTTGCGTGATGTTGCTCCAATCCCATGTACAGTAATTTCTTGCCAAATTATTCTGTTCATACAGTATTTCTGTGATGCATGGGCTCCTCTGAACATTTACTCTAAAACAAATGTCTTCTAGAAATCTAGATGCTCTGTATTTTATAATAAAAGAGCACGGGAAGTTTCGAAAAGGTTTGAACTTTCGCATATTATCCTCCGAACGTTGGTTCTTTTGCTGCGAAATAACGTCGAAATTTTGCAACAGCTTTCATATTGGTTTGCAATTTTAAAGAAATACACACTCGTGCACCACCATCTTGAAATGTAAAAATTCCTGTCTGAATCTTTCTGCACAATTTTTGCTCGCTAGGTTCTCGTTTTAGATTGTGCGTAATAATATACAAAACTTGTATAGTCGCTGTTGGAAAATTTTCTCGAGAAAACGTTGTTAGGTTTCCCTGGAAACGACCCGGGTCGGGTTGTGCTGGGTGTTTGTTTTCACCAAAGCTCCGTTTCTGGAAGAGGTGCGAAAATTCAGGAGTAGTCCCTGAGAAAACGACCTTCGGAGATTTTTTCGCGGAACAAACTGTTCAAGCAAAAAAAAAAAAATCTTGGAAATGAATTACTGTATGTGTAAATATATACATTGTATCGCACTCGAAACGGTTTCCATGAAAACCGCCTTTTCTTCTCTTCCTTGAAAATGTTCGATTAGGAGCTTGCGGGATACAAATCTGTCCTTTTCTTTTTCGGGCTGCCGCAAAGTTTTTGAGAAATTCCAGTGTGAGATAAACGTTGTTGGAACGATTTTAAGGGTTCTTTTGAATTTCGTTAATCGATGATCCGATCTGCGAATGAATTCGAGGAAACAGGACGAAGCCTTTTGAAAATATGAATACATTTCGTTAATCCTGTACTCGCTCAATGGGCGAGTCCATTATCCGAAACGTCCAGTCCTTGAAAAGCTCAGGTGCAAATGTAAAGTAGACTGATTTGTTCCGGACCCGCGGAATTTCCTTCAATCAATAATCTAAAGCTACTTGAAATGTCCATTTTTCTACCGGAGATTCTTCGACTAATTCCTTCATTCATTATTGAATGGATATATTGTATAGTCGAATGTAAAATAAAGACAACAATTCCGAGTGAAGGGAAGTACATAAAAAAGATCGTCTACAGTATAATAATTTGAATTAAGTCGGGAAGTCCGTTATCGAATAATTAGTTGTAAAGCGTATTCATGTGAAAACAAATCTGTAGTTGAACTTTTTTCGAAGGATTAATAGGCTAAAAATCGTTCGATTCATTAGCTATTTTTATTTCTAGATGAATTTACCCGGAGAAATGAGCCCTTGAAGAAGATTTTGATCGAATGCCATAAAACTAGGATTTATTGTACATGCAGTAATTGAAGGGTTTTTTTTGGAGGTTCTTGAAAGAAAAGTAAGTCGTTTTGTAAACTTCCGTGGAATCTTACACGTGAGATTCTTGTGTTTCCAATAGGTCGAAGTTATGTTCGCTTTGGCGAGAAGGAAGATTGTTCCTGAAATCATTGTAATCGAGCTTGATCCAGATTTAATTCTGAATTGATCAATTTTTCTCTGGTCTCCCGGAAGATGCGAGTATATTCTAGCTGTTATTGTACGCGTATTGCGTCTGTGAATTTCTTTAAAAATATGATGATTATTTTTCCTCTGCGATTCCCATGTTTTTTTTTTTATTTCCTGGTCAGTGATCAGTATCGGAAAAATAATAAAAGTCGGAAGTAAGTCGACTCACTTGCTCATTAATGGAATTGCGTAGTTGTTTTCTAAATACTTTTTTTTTATTATCGTCGGATTGAGAAATACCTTAATTTCATCTTCCTCCGTTGATGAAAAAAAAAATTCGGTTGAATAAAACTGAATCTCCGTCTAATGGATCACTAACGACTGCATTTTCTTCTGAAGTAAATAAAGTATAAAGCAGATGCTATTGTTCTCTTTGGATTGTCTTTTTTCCTAAGATTCTTGATCATATTTTAATACTATACTACATTGTACATCGAAAATGCGGGAAATACAATTCATTCGTCCTCTGAGAATTCCTTTGAAAAGCTTCGCAAAATGGTTAAGCAAAGTCGAAGCGAACCCATTGAATTCTATTGGACACATTTAAGCGATCCTCAGACGCAGTAAAATTTTTTCATATCCTAGTCTTGCTGACAAAAATTATATTGAAAGTCGCGCACAATTTGTCAATTTTCCTGTGAGCTGTTCAAAATATTTTGGTAATTTTTTCATCCCTGTCTTAAATTCTGTTGATCATTCATTCTAGTTCCTATATTACATGTAGTTGGTCCAAATTCGTTCTTGCGTACGTTTCGTTATACGAAATTTCTGAAATTGAAAAACTCCTTGTGAATTATTTAATTCGTTCCAGACATACCAGCAGACGATGATAACCAATACAATTTTCAAAATTTTCGGCATTAAATCGAGGATTTGAATTTGTTAATTAGGAAATCGGAAGTGATTCTGACCACTTTTTGGTCCTAAACTTTCTGAATTTCAAAAGCAAGCAAATGGAATTGTATACCTTTCTTGCCTCGTTTCCTCAAAATTTCAACAGCGACAAAAAACCCGAAGTTAAAAAATTCAAAACTCGATACAATCTTGAATGGTTTCAGCTCTTAAATTTTCGTGATGTGAAACAATTCGGTTAAGTGAGTCACTTTTTACGTTGTGCGTGTCGTTTCTCAATTCTGCGACCCGTTGTAATGCATCTCCGTTTTTCTTTTATGAGTGGAATTCAAATTTTCCTCACTATAGTTTTGTAAATGAAAGTTTGAGAAGCCTATTCCTTTCAGGTGTTATCTGCTGGAAATGAGCCGTTTCCAGTGTCTCTGAGACCCGGTTATTCGACGACTTTGCGAAAGAGGAGTTCGTCAGCTTTATTACTTGTTTGCGTTCCATGCACACTTCATCTGGCTCTTTTGTTGGTGGAAGGGAATTCAATACTGTAAACAAAATTTGATCGTCTACACTCCATAGTTTGTGAATGTCTCATCAAAGCTACTATACACGGAAGTAACCACTTCCTGACTCCCGAAGAATCGAGACGATCTTGAGTTTAATTCTTCTCTGTATTGTCACCGTGACCGCATTTAAAAGTACTGTACTGTACATTTTTAGTCTTTGGTCGGCATTCACGTATTTTTTTAGTGGGGGCTTAAGTTATTAATCTGCTTGTTTTGATGAAGCAACTCTGTCGCCAGACGGTTGTTGACCCAATTTTACGCCACATTGTTTTTGGAAAGAAGTTGATCCGAGTAATCGAAACCATCAAGCAAGCAAGCAAGCACCAGCTTTTTTTCCCCTCCAACTACCGAGGTGTGAGTACCGAAATTCCGTAATTTCCGTGGAAATTACATAGGTGTCGCCCGAATGTCGAAAAATGTTGTACAGTCTAGGAAAATCCTCGTAAAATCGTTGTGGCGATCCGTGTATAATCGGGAATATGGCGACATCTACCTGACATTCAAGGAAGTGTGGTCAAACAATGAAGGGGAAACCCGTGTCTCGTTAAAAACACTTTTTTTTTTTTACATACTTGCAAATAAAGTGAGGCCTGTTTGTATCGCATACTTTTTAATTTCAGTGTTTCAAGAACGTGAAAATGATTTAAAATTGAGTTGTGGTTCGAATAGTTTTTGACGCAAACTTTTATACTATTCAACAGCCTTTTTTTTAATTTCCCGATTATTCACTCACTTCTTTTTGGAAATCATCAAGTTTTGAAGTCTAAAGGTCTTCATAGAAATTTTAGTTGTAAAGGTTTGAGAGGGGGGGGGGGGTATACGGACTTTAAAAAACTTTAGACAGAGAAGAATGTGTACAGTATACAGTACTGTTCATTGTTCCTAAGGGGATTCAGACACTGGCTGAAATACTGTACATCTGACCGTGGTAGCTTTTTATAACTTGAGCAAATTCGAGTTAAGCGAGGTCCAAATGTGCAATACTGAAAAGGAAATATTGCTAAAAACAAAATATCCCGAAGATAAGATTTTTGTCATCAACGTTGATTTCGTTGAATCGCGGAGGTTGGGGATTTTTTTTTTTTGGCGTCCTCCTTTTAAACCCCTCTTTTTTTTTAAAACGAAAAATACCTTTGCTGACCCCATATCAGGCAATGTATTGTATATAGCGGCCATTATTGTGCATCCAAGTCTTGTGATTCCCGTCAGCCGGCAACACTGGTCGCGTTCGACGACGTGTTCCAGCGAGCGTACGCCGCTCCTCATAATTTTTTATTCATTCCGCTATATTCTTTCACTCCACTATATTCTTTTTCTGTCTCACACATGATACAGTTTTTATACTTGATTTTTTTTTCCTCTCGCCACGCACGACCATGGGGTGGCATGTGTGCCGGTTTCTATATGATGGGCGCTTGTGAAATGGCGAAGAAGGGAAGACGAGACAAGTCTGTGTAAATCTGGCTTGAAAAGGGAAAGAAGGAAACGAGGTGTCCCATATACAGTAGGTGCTACAGAAGGAAAGGGAATTGTGGGCTAGACTGGGAGGGACGAGAGGTGATGGGTTTGGTTGGTTGGTTGGGTGGGTGGGTGGTTGCACCGCTGATCCAGATGGAAGAAACCCGGGGGTTAGCTTTCTTTTGGCGAGGTTTAGTTCATATGTTTCAGATTATTTGATGTCATACTATTTTATTTTGGTTGGCTGCTGGTAGAATCTTTATTCAACAAAATTTGTTTGCAACGTTTTTCTGTATTGTATTTTCATTTTAGTGAATATTTTTGGGCATCCACAAGGATTCTCTGCTCACAAAAATTCTGATCCCCTGCATTTTTTTATAGAGGCATTTCACATGTATGATAGTTGAGTACAGTATACAGTACTGTATATGGTAGTGGAGTACTGCATACGAGGGTTCTAACAAAAGTTCTCGGAGTAACAATGAAAATGGCATATAATTGAACTGAAAAAAATTTATTCTTCAGGGAAAACATATTCTTTGGCACACACAAAAATCAGCCTGGTTTGACAATTTAAAAAAATTTTTTGCAAAATGCATCCCAGTAGAGTTTTGATCTCCAACTCAAAAGATGAGGTGCCATTTTTTATTGTAACCCAGGTTTCCCCTCAGAATTCTTGAAATAAACGTGGCATTCATGCCAAGGGTTGCCACCAGGTTATCCAAGGTGATTCCGCCATTTTCATCAACAGCCGCCTTCAAAGCCGCCTTGGATGACCTGGATGGTCGAGAATTCTGAGGGGAAAGCTGGGCTACAATAAAAAAAAGGGCGCCTCATCTTTTGAGTTGAGAGTAAAACTCGATCCGGATGAATTTTGCAAAAAATAAAAAAAATTGTCAAACCGGGCTGATTTATTTTTTGTGTGCCAAAGAATATGTTTTCCCTGAAGAATAATTTTTTTTCAGTTCAATTGTACACAATTTTCAGTGCTACTCCGAGAACTTTTGTTAGAACCCTCGTATATGATATAGTGGAGCACTGCATATATGGTAGCAGAGTACTGGATGTATGTAGTTTAGTACCATATACTGTATATAGTAGAGTACTGTATACAGGTGGTACCTTGCAATTTAACCCTAATCCATTGGTGGACTAGGGTCAAATTGCAAAGTAGTCAAATTGCAAGACAACATCAAATGGCATGTTCTCTACATGGCATTTGACATTCTCTCCACAAGTCAAATTATGAGGCAGAGGTTGAATTGAGAGTCAACCTCCCAGCAAATTCGACCTTCAAATTGCACTATGGTCAAATTTCAAAGTACCACCTGTTCATGGTAGTAGATTACCATATACAGTATATGGTTGTGGAGTATACTGTATATAGTGGAGGACATTAAATAAGGCAATGGAGTACAGTATGTAAGAGAGTGAAGTACAGTATGTAAAGCGAGTGAAGTACAGTGTAAGGAATTTCAGTGCATTGTAAGGAGTTTCAGCACAGTAGAAGGTAGTGGCATTTGAGTGCACATTACCCTGTTCAGATGTTCAATTTGTTGTGAGTACAAAATCCAGGGGTCAACAGAAAAAAGAAGAAACCTTAAATGGGTTTAACATGAGCTTTAGGAGGCTCTCCTATGCTACATAATTGTATTACTCCATCAGTGCTATAACAATTTTATATTTGCTCTCTGGGTATAATTTCATTTACTGTACAAGGCTTATTATTTTTAAAATTTCCTTTACAGGAATTGGTGCCAAAGGTAGGCAACAGATCTCATATGCTCCATTGCAAAATCTGGTTCAACTGAGTCAAATATTGTATTACCTATAATGTAAAGTTTTTTTTATGCATGCAGTACCTTTGATCGGGGTCAATGGTTTTTTCTTTTATGTGTTGAACAAGCTTTTGATGTCATTATACAGTACTTTGGTTTCATGAAGTGAAACTAGATTTGTAGATTTCACACATTGAATTTTTAAATTGTGCCTTGAAAGGCATGCAGCTCAAATTGGTAGGAAGTTTTTCAGCCATTTTCAGATCTCTTGGGTAATTTAATCCTGAAGATACGGAAGCATACTGATAAAGGTCTGGTAAATATTCTTATCTTTT